ATGCACCATAAAACCTGGCTTGAAATGTCTCAATCTCAATATGAACTACTTGTATTAAAAATCTTTTTGACCTTTTTTTACTTGTTTTCATCTTATCAATCTGTAAAGAAAAGCAAAACAAGGCAGGAAACAAAGGCCAAATACACGTCATGTTTTATCTTCATGAGAGTAGTAAATGTGTATCTGAAGGCAAACGGAGCTGTGTGGTGCTGCGGGCCACAGGAATATATTATAAGAACTCAGCTGGTTATGGCAAAGTCACTACCTGGAGGAATCAGGGAATTCCTCCAGAGGAAGCCAAATCCCAAGGAGTTTTTGGTGTTACTTGGCTTGTTATATATCAGCTGTATTCTGTTATGAAAGTCATGTGTACCTTCATAGTTTTCCTAATTGACTTTTCCCCAAGAAGGGCTAACAGTGTGGACTGATCACTCTCTGGACATACACATTCCAGGTATTTGGAGAACAGCCTCAGGAAAGGCTTTCTCTGGAATCAGATATCTCCCTTGGCCACTTTCAAGGACTAGCAGTAATAACAGTCCACATGCAAGTCTCCTGATTTAAGGTAAATTCCACAAGGAGACACCACCTAGGTCAGGTGGACATTAAGTAATAGCTTTACAGATTCAGCTCGGACCCTCCTTTCTTACAGCCTTACTAACTTTATAGACCGCTAACTCCTTACCTAACCACTTCTAGGAATATTTAGATAACCTTCTGTGCTGACAGCTATGCTCAGCCCAAACCCCAGTTCAAGCTTCCCTGTAATTATCATCACTGGCAGCATCCGGCCAGGTCCATCCCCAGATGGAGGAAAGTACCTTATCAGTGATACCTCCGTACTTTCTAAGAACAGACTTAAGCATCCAGGCTACCCATTTGTGAAGGCCTGGCGGATATGCCAATTAAGCTTTACTTCCTCCTTTCCCAAACCTTACCTCTGGTTCCAGATCTCCCTTTAACTATCACCAAAGGCATCTAGCTGTACACAGGTTGCCTAGCGACTGATCACACTTTCCCCCACCCTGCAGAAAAACGGCAGATAGCTTGGACAGATAGGAGCCACAGGAAAAAAGAAGACAGTTCTATTTTCTCCCATTGACCTAGCAACTTATAGATTCTTAACATATCTACTAATCACATTTAAGACTATAGTTGAGCACATAAGATTCCCTCTTCTTAGATATTACCCGAATTTAGCCTTTAGTTAATTCATTTCCCCATTGGTCACTTCCCTTTGGGGTTGCAAATGATAATTAACGGTTATTGGCTCCCTATGTGATTCTTATCACCCCTCCGTTTGACCCTGGAAGCCTGGCTTTATATACCAGGACTTCCAGGGCACGGAGGGATGGAGAAGAGAAAAGAGAATGGAAGAACTAAACGGGTAGGAACTTGAGAGGAACAAACTGAGATGGGGAAGAATTAGATTGAAGGGCTAGAGGAGAGCACCAGAGGAACAAGATGGAAGATGAGGAAGAGTCAGATGGGGAAGTACTAGCTGGGTAAGAACAAGATGAAAAGGACCTAGATGAGGCAGAGTTAAGACAAGAGAATTAAGATGGAACTTAGAGGAAGCAGTAGATAAATATAGAGAGAAATCAGCCAAGAAAGGAGCTAGACATGAGAACAGAACTGAAGCTGGGTATAAAGGATGTTGTGCCAGAGGAATTAAAGGAAGTGGACTATAGAGCTCGGTGTGCTGAGATTCTATTTCCTGAAAATAGTCCTCGCCGTTAGTAGTTCTCTCTCCTGAGCCCCTGGGATGTATAATACTAAGGCTGGTCCCTCTAATATTATACATGAGTGTGGACATTTTAAGAACCTGTGTTTATTCTTAGAAGCAACAAGAACTTAACGAAAACCTAACTCTCTGAAAGCTACTGACTGGGGCAAGCCAGCCAAGACAGGCTAGTGACTGACAGAGTCATACCAGATTCCAGGCTGGAGATGTGGTAAGAAGTCACTGGACTCTGGACATGTTTACCTTTCTTTTGTTTTCTTTTCCTAGGTGTACTTAAAGAAGAGTGAACACAATTTGCTAACAAAGTGGACAAAAAGCCTTGAGAGAAAGAGAAAAAAACCCTAGCTGATAAAACTATAAAGATAACCACTGTTCTGATGCCATGGACCTACAGAACAAAGGACACTGAGTTTGTTACACATGTATCACAGTTAAAAACTTCCGTTCCCTATAGAAGATACAATGTAATATGAAGAGCAGTGTCACTATTCTTAGAACAATTCTGGAATAATCTACTGTCTCCTGCTGCCACATTTCTGCTCAGGGTTACTGAAGCAACGCCACAAACATTCCAAGAAATTCAGTCTTCTTCCCAAGGACTTCCAAAGAAAATCCAAACCAAACATTTCAACTACATTAGAATTACCATGACCAATATAAATTTCCAATATATTCTGACGGTTTTATTTTGCTGTCAGTAATTTTTGATTAGTATTAGGTCATCAATATGTTTTTTTTTTTTTGAGTGCTGTAAAGGAATCAAAAGCATTCTTCTAACTGAGCAGTATCCTCAAATGAATGATGTTTTTAAGAGTTTGTTTCTTTTTATTATGTATATGCATGTGAGTGCAGTTGCCCTAGGTGGCCAGAGGCACTGAAGCTGGAATTACAGGCGACTGTGAGCCACCCAACGTGGGTGATTGGAACTGAACTTGAGTCCTCTGCAAGAGTAGCCATACTCTTAACCACTGAGTCACTTCTCCAGTCCCTGAAGATGAGTCTTTCCTTTTTTTTTTAAGATTTTTTTTGTGTGTGTGCATGCATGTCTTGCTCATATATATGTCTATACACACGTGTGTCTGGTACCCATGGAGGTCAGAAGAGGGTCTTGGAGCCCCTGGAACTGGAGTTATGGAGAGTAGTGAACTGCCATGTGGGTGCTGGGAATTGAACCTGGACCTCTGCAAGAGTAACACATTCTCTTAACCATTGAGTCATCTCTCCAGCACTTGGGATCTTTTGTTGTTGTTTGTTTTTTGTTTTTTTTTTTTGTTTTTGTTTTTTTTTTTTTGAGCTGAGGACCGAACCCAGGGCCTTGCGCTTGCTAGGCAAGCGCTCTACCACTGAGCTAAATCCCCAACCCAGCAGCACTCAGGATCTTAAAAGCAACTATTTAGAATAGGAAATGACCTTGGAAAACATTTTGAAGATATGCAAATAAAAGTATTTTAAATCTTTAAAACAGTGTAGCTGTGTCCTTCCTCTAGGATTCTAGGAATGGAGGCTGGCTTACATAAACCAGGACTTTGGTACAGAGATTACTCACCTGGGTGTGGTGACGCTGTTGTGGCCCATAATAAATATAATGATGTATCACCAACTCTCTTTGGACTCACTGTCTGCCTGGCAAACAGATTATTAGTTTGGCTCCCATAAATTTTCAGAACCAAAACATCTACATAAGAGACTATCACAAATTTTTAAGAGTGTGTTTCAAGTCACACAGCTAAATAAAAACTTCCAGCTGGTGAAGGTTTGGATTTCAGTCAGGTTCTCCTAAAGGGCTAAGCTTTGCCATCTCAAAAATGGGAATGATCATGTTTCCCCTAGAGCTGTTTCTAATGTACTTTCCTCATTGTTAAAAGGTGTGTGTGTGTGTGTGTGTGTGTGTGTGTGTGTGTGTGTGTGTGTGTCTGGGCGTGCAAGTGTTGATGGAGCCCAATAGAGTGTCAGATTCCCTAGGAATGGAGTTATAAATGGTTGGGAGCAATCCACTGCAGGTGATGGTAAGTGAACTTTGATCCTCCGTAAAAGTAGCAAATGCTCTCACTCAATCCCTCAGCCCCTTCATTCCTTAAATGTATCTACAGAGGGATACAGTACATTGCTTGGTAGTCACATTCACTCTGAGTGATAGGAATGCTCAATTTATGTTAGAAGAACTACTGACATTGTGGGACCCTGGAGTTGGCTCAGTAAGAGCCACAGATAATTTCTAAGACCCACAAGGTGGAAACAGAAGACCAACTCTGACAAGTTGTTTGTAGAACGCCTACCACTTAGCTGTGTCCCTTCTGCCTTTTAGCAGTCTATTGTATTCCTTTCTCCCTAAATTATTAGGATTGAGTTAATATTTATTTACAAAGTTTTCAAAACAGTGTCTTGGAATAGCCAAGGCTGTATATGTTCCTCATTTTAAGACTGGCCACAGAACCAATGGATTTAAATTTGTATGTGGTAGGCATAGAAATAAAAACTGCCTTACTTTTCCCAGCACTTCCTATTTATTAGTTGCTTGATGTTTTGATGTTGAGGCATTTAGATTACTTCAGATAACAATGAATGCCCAGCTAGAAAACAAATCTACCAATACATGTATTCCTCAAAATACGACCTTTTTTTGAGACAGGGTTTCACTGTGTAGTCCTGGCTGTCCTGGAACTCACTCTGTAGACCAGGCCGGCCTTGAGCTCAGAGATTCTCCTGCCTCTGCCTCCTAGGAGCTGGCATTAAAGGGATGCGCCACCACGCCCTGCCAAAATTTGACTTTTCATAAAGTCAAACTATATCACATGCAGCCTAAAGAGGAGGAAGCGTTCCCCTTGGGCATGAGAGTTGGGTTAGGGAGAGGCTTGGGTCGCTAGACTTCCTTCAAGGTCGGCAATGAAGCCCTCACTGAAACCTCGAGTCACTTGGAATTATAAAAAGGCAGCAACAGTTTGGCTCAGTTTCCTCGGAAACCACAGGAGAGCCTCCGGTAGTCCGAAAGTGCTCGGCAACAGAACCCACAAGAAGCTAGCAACCGAGACCCTCGGACCTCACGCGCCGCGCGCGCCCGCCGCTGGGCGGAACCTGGGCGGCGCGCGCTTCCGGTGCACGCTTCCGGCCAGCGGCTGGCGCGGGGCGGGGGCACCGCCGGCTTCCAATCGCGCACAATGAGACGGCGCTGAGCGCCGGAAGTGGGGCCGAAGGAAAACACGGAGAGGAGCCGGGCCCGGACAGGAAGCGGCGGGGGACCGCAGCGGCGCTGGTGAGTGCTCCGGGGCGCCGTCTCGTCGCGTCCCTCCCGGACTCGCCTCCGGGCTGGGCCCTTGGGTTCCCCCGGCCCCGAGGAGCTTACTGCCCGGCCCCGAGGTACGTTGGCGCCGTCCTTCTCGGGCCGCCTCGGCCCGGCTGCGCGCCCGGAGCCCTCGGGTTCGAGTCCGTGTCTTCACTTTGTGTCGGGGCTCCGGCCCTGGCCGGGGGGACCCCGGAATCCTGTCAATGGCCGAGTGCTTCCTGCTTCCTAGTCCCCACGGCGACTTCAGAGCCAGTAGTGCGGTGCCGCTGCCTTCATCGCCTGGGGACTCCGTTTGTGGAAACTGAGGCACACAGGGGTGGGGCAGCCGAATGGGGAAGGAAAAGGAGTGTCATTCTGCGGAGGATTGTGGTTGGTGTCGAAACCGGACTTGTCTGGGGCTGGGGACTAAGAAATCGGGTAAGTCAGCTGGCGTTATCCCTTGGTCGCAAGCTCGGCCCCTTAGAGTGGTACCTTGCTGGCAAGTGTTGCCCCTTCGTCCAGCGTTCGCGCCGGGTCTGAAGTGAAAAGTAAAGCAAAGAGAGGGGTTGATTTAAATGAAATCTGTTCACATAGTTTCAGCTGCTTTGACACTTGAAAGTAATTGCCAACTTTTTTTTTTTTTAAATAGACTTGGGGGAGTTTTGTAACAGTGTTGACTTAGGATGTTTACTTTGAAGAGAGGTGTTTTTGTTACATAGAAGCTGACCAAGTTGCTACATTAGTTTTTGAGGTTATAGAAGCGCCTTCGTATTTAGTCAAATATTAAATGACTAGTTTTTTTGTTGTTGTTTTGTTTTTTATGAACGATGTCGGGCTAAGCCTCCTAACTTCTGGAATGCACTAATTATTAGCGATGTAATAGCAGTTTTATTTTTTATTTTTATTTTATTTTATTTTCTTGGTTTTTCGAGACAGGGTTTCTCTGTGTAGCTTTGCGCCTTTCCTGGAACTCACTCTGTAGCCCAGGCTGGCCTTGAACTCACAGAGATCTGCTTGGCTCTGCCTCCCGAGTGCTGGGATTAAAGGCATGCGCCACCACCACCCGGCTAGCAGTTTTATTTTTTAAATGGGGAAAATAAGTCTTCAGGGCATCAGTGTGTTACTTTGAGTATTTGGTATGATGGCATTTTATAGTTTGTTTCTCCTGAAACGCTTTCTTCCAGGTACAAAGTAAGAAAATTAAAGTTCAAGACCATGGGAGATACAGCAAAACCTTACTTTATGAAGCGCACTAAAGACCGTGGAATTACTGATGATGATGATTTCAGAAGGGGGCATCCCCAACAAGATTATTTAATAATGGATGATTATGCTAAAGGCCATAGCAATAAAATGGAAAAAGGCCTTCCAAAAAAAAAGATAGCACCCGGGAACTATGGGAATGCCCCCAGGAAAGGACCATATGCGGTTTCCAGCAATCCGTATGCATTTAAAAACCCAATTTACAGTCAGCCTGCTTGGATGAATGACAACCACAAAGATCAAAATAAGAGATGGCTGCCTGATGAACTTACTAGTAATGCAGATAGCTGGAGAGAGTTCAAGCCTGGACCTAGGATTCCTACCATCAGCCGGTCAAGGAAAGAATCCTTTCAAGAAAGTGAAGATTGCTACCGGTGGCAGGAGGGGAGAGGCTGCAGAGCAGTTAGACGGCTGTTTCAGAAGGATCTCACCAGCCTGGAAGCCATGTCAGAAATGGAAGCAGGAAGTCCAGGTATGTTTCAAGTCTCTAGGTTACATGTCTGTATTTTTTTTCCCTCCAAATAAGTTTTGTTATTTTCAGTAATGAGCTATTTAATGTGATTATGTTAGGGTTTATAGTGCTATAATTAGGTGACTTCAACATATTTCAGACATTGGGCCGCAGAGTAGGGTACTGTCCCACAAAAAAAAGTAAGGCTCATTTTACATTAGTAAACACTTTACAGAAGAGGGTCATATACCCTTGGAGGTCATACTGTAATTTAGGAGTGATGTGTATGTATTTTCACGTTCATAATTTTAATTTTAAAGTGTGTTAAGAATGTACATGACAATTTAAAACTAAAAATATTTGCCGGGCGGTGGTGGCGCACGCCTTTAATCCCAGCACTCGGGAGGCAGAGCCAGGCGGATCTCTGTGAGTTCGAGGCCAGCCTGGGCTACCAAGTGAGTCCCAGGAAAGGCGCAAAGCTACACAGAGAAACCCTGTCTCGAAAAACCAAAAAAAAAAAAAAAAAAAAAAAAAAAACTAAAAATATTTAATGCGAAGACAGGGTATAGTCTGCATATATTCCAAAGAGAGGGAGGGAGAGAGGAACTTTGGGGGGAAAAGGAGACGCTGAGTTGCTGTTTAACCAAATTCACACAGGGCCAGGGAAGTTAGAACACAAGCTTTACACCAGGATATGGGAAACAGGTAATTAAAGACTGAGAATTCAATATAAAAGCAGTGCTGCTCCCTTGAGAAGAATCAAAATCTGTCTCTTTTTCTGTAGCCAAGGCTAACCTTGAACTAAGTGCTAAACTTCATTTCTCAGTAACTTCACATGCTTTATAATAACTATACAAAGTGGTTGTGCATTTTTCTAAAAGGTGCAAGTAGATGTTGTATAGCAGTTATTCCTCAAAACAAGAAAGTTATTTCTATCTAATTGATGTATTCACTGAAGTGAAATAAAAGTCGTGCATTAGATGCAAAAAAGTAAAAACTGTTTATAGTATGAAATTGGATTTAAAAATTGCCTCTTTTTTTTTTTTTTTAAAGACAGTGTCTTAATGTGTAGTGCTGACTGGCCTGGAACTTACTGTGTAGACCAGACTGGCCTCACAGCCATCCTCCTGCTGCTTCTTCCTGGACTAGGGTTTAAAGAACCATAAAAAGAACCATTGCGGTACTAATCTGTGAGCTGAACAGACTAGAAAGGCTGTTGTGTAGGATACCAGAGTGGCGTGGAGCCGCAGTTCTGCAGATTGGAGGGGTGAAAACTGTCCAGACTTGTTCATGCAGTGCTGGATGGAAAAGTGGGACTCCAATGAAACAGAAATTGGGGGTTCATTCTGTCACTGTGACCATGACCTCAGGCTTGTAGGACCTGGGATCCTGAGGAGGAAATTGAGTATGTATTGGTGGTTTCTGGGCTTTTGATTTTTTTTGTGTGTTTTTTTTTTGTCTTTTGTCTTTTGTTTTTTAATAAGTTTTGTGCGTACTTTAATGTAGGTGTGGATTCCTAATTACATTTGTCGTGTGGAAATTAAAAAATTAAGATATGTGTGTTACCTGCTTGCAATCTCAGAACTGCAATTCTGAGATAAGGTGGGAGGATGGAGAATTTGAGGCCAGCCTGGACTACATGGCAAAACCTTGGAGAAGGGATGATTTTTGAAAATCATTTTTAGGTCAGGTGTGGTGGCCCACTGGTATAATCATAATATTTGGGAGGTGGAGGCTGGAAGATCAGGAGTTGAAGATAAACCTTGGCTCCCTGAGTGAGTTCAGGCCAGTCTAGGTTTCAAGAACAAAATAAAACAAGCACATGAAAAAAAGGAGGAGGAAAAGGGACTTTTAAGAGTCTCATACTCTACTGACTGAGTTGGGTGGGCCATTTTAAAAAGAACTTTTAAGATGGAGAGTTAAGCCAGGCTGAGGGGCACACACTGATATTCCCAGTACAAGAGGAAGAGGCTAGCAGATCTGTGAATTTGAGGTCAGCCTGGTCTACTTAGTGATTTCCAGGCCATCCAGGGCTACTTTAGACCCTGTCTAAAATTACTACTACTACTAATGATGATTTATTTATAGATCAATGTTTTGTACCTAGAAATATTAAAGGGACTGATTGCAGACTCAAACCCTCTTACAGGTGCTCTTGCTCAGGAATAACTAGGGAGGTGTGAACCCTCAGCAGGTGTGAACGGGAGTACCTGCTGTCCCTGTATTTGCAGAAGCTCATTTAAGTATGTATATATGTATGAAGTACAGACATGAGTTTCAAGTTGCCAAGTGAAGAAATTGATAATTTCCCTTGAAGATCTTCATAAAGGAAACATAAAGGTTTTGTTTAAGATTACATACAATAGTGAGGAGTTTAATTTGATGTGTAAATTTGCAGTGGGTAGAAATGATCCGAAGAAAGATCATTAAAGGGACTAAAATGTCTTAAAAATTTTTTTTTTTTTTCTTTTTGAGACAGGGTCTCCTGTGTAGCTCTAGTGAGCTTGAAACTCTCTATGTAGATAAGGCCACCTCAGACTGAGAGATCCACCTTTCCTCTGCCCTCCTTGTTCTAGTATTAAAGGGATGCACCACCACGGCCTGCAATAAGGATCAATCAAACTATGAGAAGATATGATAAAACTTACATTAAAGCTAATTTTTAAAACTTTAAGTACTGATTTTTTTTCTCAATTCTACATTATTGTCCCTCCCTTAGCCCTCAAATGTCTTAATTGGCAATGTAAAGTATTTGGGGCAATGTCATTAATAGGCTGACTGGAAACATCCATTCAAATATCCATTCAAATTCCTCTGTGACTGGAGTGATGTACCATATGCAAATAAGATGTGAGGGACTTGGAAAGCTCACAGACAGCTGGGGTTGTGACAGGCCAGGAAGCCTGAAATCCTCCTGTCGGTGGTTCTAGAGGCTTCTTGGGGCTGTTCTGCCCGAGAGCTGCTCCGGGGAGCTTTTCTCACAGTTGGTACCTGCAGGCCTAGAGAGCCTATCAGTTTGTAGGGATTCCTCTTCACTTTGCATTCTGCCTTATTTTAAATTGCAGTTTAGATCTTTATGTTACCTTGGCCCTGTGTCCTTAGGCAAGTCACTTAGTTCTCTGAGACTGCTATTGTTACCATCTGCACAATGGGGCTAATCTCAGCATTGATGTGGAGATTACTATAGGGATCAGAGGAGGCAGGGCATATAAAAGCACTTGCTTTCCTTAGGTTGTGGGATGAGATATGCTGTTGACATCACCCAGCACTTGGTTCAGCTCTCCCTTGCCAAAAGGAGTAAGTCATAGTCTTGGCCCTCTAGCCTCAGTGTCCCAGTGTTGTAGCAAGAATGCACTACTAATCACAGCTGCAGCTGATAATTACTAGTTGATGGATTGTTTTCCCCAGGCTGAGGATCAGTCTTAGTGCCGGTGTGCATGTTGAGCAAGTGTTCTGCTATCTAGCTAAGTTCCCAATCTGGCAATGGCATTCTTTATTTTTTGTAAGGATTTATTTATTTATTATTTTTATGTGTATGTGTGTGCACACCTGGATGGGTGTCTGTGCACCATCCATATATAGGAGCCCGTGGTACCAAGCCAGAGAGGGCATCGGGTCCCCTGGAACTAGAGTTACAGATGATTGTGAGTCTTCTTAATTGCTGAGCCATGTCCAACCCCAACAGTGGTATTCTTTAAAATTGGAAGTCCTGTATTTCCTTTTCTACCCAGAATTCTTTTCTGCAATTAACCAGTGCATTGCAATTGCTATACTGGTAATGAGTGCCTCTAGAAGCTGGAGAGAGACTGCTTTATGCAAGTTCTTTTCTAAGCACTAATTTATGGAAAGCCAGTGAAAACAATTCCATCTGTTTAATCAGAATTTTAAAAAGATTTATTTTATTATTTTAATTTATGTAGGTATGTGCATGTGTGGATGCCTGCAGAGGCTACGTGGGTGCTGGGAACAGAACCCAGGTCCTCTGTAAGAGCTCATTCCACGGAGCCATCTCTACAGCCCCATGTTACAGTTAGCATTCATTGTCTTTCAGAACCTGATAGGAGTCCCAAGGCTGCTTACCATAGTTTTTAAAGTTCAGTCCCACAATTCTTATATGCTTCACAGGTTGAAGAGTAGTTAGCTTGAATTTATTTATTCACTCTAAGGATTATAGAACTAACAAAGAATTTATAACACATTTATTTAGGCTAAACTTTGATTTTTAACTGCCAATTGTTTTTTCCGGTATGGCATGTGCTCATTCTGTCGGTGGTATGTTTAAAAAACAAAAGCAAAAGTGAAGTGGGAACTGTGTGTTCTAAGTAAAACTTGGGCTTGAATTTTTTCTTAATAATGAAGGAACTCCAATTACGATTAAAGGCTACATTTGTAGCTAAATGACTTTATTTGAATCACATAAGAATATGATCAATTTCTGAGTTCTCCAGGTGCATGCAGTATTGTCCATTCTTCCCTACTGGGATTCTTCACTTAAAAAAAATCAAAACAAATATGAATACTTTTTATTAAAACACCAGGTACATTTACAATTTGGTTGGAAATACTATGTATGTATATATCAAGTGTATTAGAATTACAGTTATATCTGCCTTCAGCGGGAGACTTTTACTGTTGCATAAGTGTGCTCAGCAGCCTAATGTGGGAGGAGATAAAATCAAATTGTACGGAAAAAACAATCCTTTTTCATTGCAGTGATTAATGTGGATGGGTGAATATGGAAAGTCACCTTCCCTATTGTTCAGTGTTCAGACATCACTTATCCTATCATTGAAATAAGTGCATATGCGCTTGGGATAGAACACGGGGTCTAGCACTTGCCAGTGTATGTGAGGACCTGGGTTCAATCCCTAGTGCTGTGTGTAAGTAAGTGAATTTAAAGGAAGGAAGTTCTACATCTTACTCGGAGTGATGGTATTTACCACTTCAATATTGTCCCCTAACTTAAGAAACCAAGAAACAGCGGTCCAGACCTCGGAAGCCACGAAGGACTAGAAATGAGGAAAGTGAGCAGGATGGAGAGTTGGAAGGTCCTGTGATCGATGAGTCTGCACTTTCAACAAAGGAGCTTCTGGGCTTGCATCAGGCTGAGGAACGACTAAAGAGAGACTGCATTGACAGGCTAAAAAGGGTACCATCTTTACTCATACGTTTGCTAGATCATGTCTGTGTTTTCCTTTACACTGTGTTAGTGATTGCAACATTTGCCTCAGTGGGTTAGGTTTTCCACTTTTTTATCCTTGTGTAAGTCTGTGTGTTGAGGGATATTCAGTGTGATTTAAGAAAATCAAGACAAAACTGTCCATTTTGAAAGTGATGGGAGAAACCATTATTCTGGCTAATTTTGTTTCTCTAAATGTTTGGAGATATATCTTTCTGTCACTCTTTTCAAACTGTAGCGACCACGAAATTGCCCTACAGCCAAGTACACCTGCAAGCTGTGTGACGCTCTGATCGACTCCATCCCGTTTGCTCATAAGCACATCAAGGAGAAGAGGCACAAGAAGAACCTCAAGGTGAGTCTCTGCAGCTGCTGTCTCTGTGGCCTTCCTAAACCCTGTAGATACTGAAATCAAACCACTTGCTGAATTTAGTTTCGTCAGAGTACTTCTCCACTAGTCAGATGTGTTTGCTGGGTAGCCCTGCGAATATCCCCAAGTACAGAGCCAGGATGTAGGAAGCCACTGGGGAGCCTAGGTGTTCTTCTGTAAATAAGGTGCATAATGTCTGTTGTATTCTCGCCTGCTCTTTATTATCCGTATTAAGTACATAGAGTGTGTGTTTGATAGGAAGAACACATGTCTGAGATAAGGAAGGCTATGAGGAGTCCAGAACATTCTGTAGGGTACTGCCATGGTGAAAAGTGAAAGGTAACTGCTACCTATGAGTCCTTTGTAATCCTACTGTTGATCTTACAAGGAAAAGCAGGAGGAAGAGTTGCTCACCACGCTGCCCCCGCCAGCACCCTCCCAGATCAATGCAGTTGGCAGTGCCATTGACAAAGTGGTGCAGGAGTTTGGTTTACACAGTGAAAACTTGGATCAGAGACTAGAAATTAAGCATGTCATGGAAAGTGTGTTCCAGCACAAACTACCAGGTATTTTCTAGATTTGTTTTTCTATTTAGCATCTAAGGATACCTCATAGTTAAGTCACTTTCACCTAATAAGAATTAACTTATGGCCAGGCACAGGACTGCTGCCTGTAATACCAGCTTATGGAGGCCGAGGTCTAGGGTCCCAAGCTTGAGGCCAGCCTGGGCTACATAGCAGACCCTGTCTCAAGAAACAAGGCATCATGAGGACTTTTTTGCTACATCGCAAAGCGCCTATTTTTAGTGTTCTGGTGGTGGTGGTTTTTTGGTGTGTGTGTGGGGGGGGTGGCGGTGGGGGCTGAGGGGGTGGGGGGCTGGGGGCATGTTGGGGAGTGTTCATTTTGTTTCGTTTCCCTTCTTCCAGTATGCTAGGCTGGTCTGAAATTTGCTATGTAGTCCAGGGTGATCTTGAACTCATGAATCCCCTCGCATAGTTTCTTGTATGCTGGAATTACAGGCATGTACCACCACATCTAGCTGGTGTGTGTGTGTGTGTGTGTGTGTCTGTCTGACTTTTCCTAAGGTAACAAAAAACTTACATGCACTGTCATTATACATCTCCTTTCATTATACATGTTAATGTGTGACTAATTTTAGTATAGTTGAATATGCCCTTTATTGAGACACTGAGGAATTTTAGTATAGTTGAATATGCCCTTTATTGAGACACTGAGGTTTCGATGGATGTTTGGTTACTTTTTTGTCTGAATTAACATAGGTTTTTTTGTTTGTTTGTTTTGCAGTACTGAAAGCAACCCAGAGCCTTTTGCAAATGTTAGACATGTGCTTGATATTGGCTGAACCACATCCCCAACTCTATTTTTATTAACTAGCCTTATTTATTAGACTATTATTTATAGCACTAGAAATTAAATCTAAGACCTTGTACATACTAGGTAATTGCTCTATACTGAACCCTAGTCCAGTTAAACAAAGAGAGGTATCCTGAAGTAATTTTTAGGTTATATGTGTCAAAATAAAATTCTATTTAAATGTACATAAAAGAATTGTATAGAAACTGAGTTTTGGAGCCTAGTACATATTGTGTGCTATTGTTTTGTTTACTCTTGCAATGATTTTCCAAGGTGCGTCTATCTTTTGCTTTTGCCTCTTTCTAATTTTAAATCCATCAAGTTGTGGGGATAACTTTGTAGGGGCATACTGTCTGTTAACATTTAAGACTGGCAGACTCACCCCACACACACTTGGCTGGGCCTCTGTAGGCAATGACTGAAGTAGCGTAATTGGCTTTTGAGTCTTTCCTGTGGCAGAATTGCCAATGAACAGCGGACAACGCCTTCTAAAAGCCCCCACAAGGCCCCAGCACTTGGGAGGCTGATGGATGAGGATCATGAGTTCAAGGCTACCTGGGGCTACCTAGTGGGATGTAGAGGGAGGTCAAGGGAGGGAGAGAGTGAGTTAGAGTCATTGCTTAATTACCTTTCATTACAACTCTAAACTACTCATACTGAAAAGTCATGCACATGATGTTCTGTGACAAGCAACCAAAATAAAAGCACTTCCTCTTTTGTTTTTCCCTCAAGACAAGGTCTCACTATGTAGCCCTGTTTGGATTGAAACTCACTATGTAGACCAGGCTGGCCTCAAACTCAAAGAGATCTGCCTGCTCCTTCCTTCCAATACTGGAACTAAAGGCATGCACCACCCCACCTGGCAGCACTGTCTCTTTAAGCAAGGTGTGGTGCAGATGTGTGTCACCTGTACATATGTACAGTGTTCAATTTCAGTGCTTACTTCATTTGTGCCAAAAAGACCTTCACCATCAAGGGGAGTTTTTCTTTAAAAAAACAAAAACAAAAAAAACTAAATGATTTAAGTGACTTCTTGGGTTTTAAGAGTTTTCTGTAACAAAGTATATTTTACAAGCAAAATTTACTAAAGTTACAAGAGACACCTTTATAAGAAAATGAATATATTCTGTCCTCTTTCCTCAACCTTTCAAATGTGGGGACTTGAGTGTGAGCTTCACCACATCCATCTTGTCACATTTTAAATTATTCTGTAATACTTTTGCAAATGATTTTCAGAACTGGTTGTGTTATGTTAAAGGCTTTTTGTTCATGTTGTGGTGATTCCTATTAAAAAGTAACTTTAGAGCCTCATACAGTGGCAATTCTAACACCTAGGAGGAGGTGGAGGCAGGGGCATCAGGAGTTCACAGTTATTCTCAGCTCCGTAGGTAGTTAGATGCCAGCAGGGTTACTTGAGTCCTTGCCTCAAAGTCCTGTCCCCTCACAAAAATGGCAGTGTTAGCTGGGTGCAGTAGACGAGCCTATAGTTCTAGCTTTGGGGAGGATGAGGCAAAATGATTGACCCAGGATCAAGGCAAATCTGAACAACAGCAAGAACCTTTACTTTATAGTGAAACCTACTCTTTATAATAAGTTCGAGCTATGTATGCATTCTGATATTGGAAAGAAATGCTTGCAATAGCTCATGAGTATACTGTAGGATTTAAAACCAGGTGTTCTTTTCAACATTCAACATCAGAATTTTAAAAATCATTACAGAGTTTTCTGCACAAGATGTGAGCATGATCATGTAGGAGTCTTTAAATGCTTCAAAGCTCATGGCAGGGTGGCTGAAGTCCAGTGAAAAGCTGAGCAAATGGCTTTGCAGTCCTCCTTTGTGAGTGTCTGGTCTCTCTGGTCTTGCTTCTATGCACAGCTTTGATTGATGGTTTTGTGTTTTAAGTAGCAGTGTTTGGTTACAGCTTTTGAGAGATTTTACTATTTGTGACTCCCATGTGCTTACTTATTTCTAGACTGTTCTCTTAGGCTGTATGGATCTTCCTGTAGCAGATTCGGCTTCAGCGACTCAGATGTGAACATTGATGTTCAGTTTCCAGCAATCGTAAGTACAAAATGATGTGCTGGACTTTGCAGTCACAAAGAATTCTTTTGTTTAGCTTTTAAGAAAAGTTTTATATTTACATGCTTGTGTGAACTCGTGTACCCTTCCGTGTGTGTGTGTGTGTGTGTGTGTGTGTGTGTGTGTGTGTGTGTGTATGTATGTATGTATGCCAGGTGTGTGTAGATGCCCATGGGGGCCAGAGAGGGCATCAGCTCCCCTGGAACTTGTGAGCCACCTGATATGGGTACTGGGATCTGAGCTCTGGTCCTCCAGAAGAACAAGTGCTCTTAACTCCTGAGCCCCTGTCTTTATTTAAGCTTTTTTTTTTTTTTTTTTTGGTTTTTCGAGACAGGGTTTCTCTGTGTAGCTTTGCGCCTTTCCTGGGACTCACTTGGTAGCCCAGGCTGGCCTTGAACTCACAGAGATCCACCTGGCTCTGGCTCCCGAGTGCTGGCATTAAAGGCGTGCGCCACCACCGCCCGGCCAAGAGTCAATTCTTTTTTTTTTTTTTTTTTGGTTTTTCGAGACAGGGTTTCTCTGTGTAGCTTTGCGCCTTTCCTGGGACTCACTTGGTAGCCCAGGCTGGCCTCGAACTCACAGAGATCCGCCTGGCTCTGCCTCCCGAGTGCTGGGATTAAAGGCGTGCGCCACCATCGCCCAGCTATTTAAGCTTATTTTATTGTTGAGTACGTGGGCACATTTGTGTGTATTTTCAGTTGGCTGGGCAGACCTGCATGGTCTTAGAATATCAAGCCAGTTTGGCTCCTTATCAGAAGCACATAGATCTTAGTGTCCTTATCTTTTCTGTTCCTCTCAAAATGTACACAGCAGCCACTTTCTTAATGGAGTGATGGGGACTCTCAGAGACATTAGGGGCAAGGCTTTTAGATTTGGGAATTCTCAGGATTTGATTGCTGATCAGCAAACATAATTATGAGTTCCTCATGTTCACGTGGATTGTGAGGAAGTTGGGCCTTCCTTAAGCCTGTTTGTCACAGCTCCTTTCTGAGGACTTCAGCTTTGTCTCGTATCAGCCTGCTGTGCTTCACACCGGCACAGGCTTTTCCAGGGAGCATGCTTGAGACCCGTGGCTGTCTGATGGCAAAAAGCAGAAATTCTTTTAAATGTGACCTGGATGTAAATATATTTTGAGATTTAAAGTGTAACTGTGACAGTTCTCCCTGAGAATTTTCACTTTTATGTCTTCTGTCTTCAGCTTCAGAATTTTATTTTTTTTACTTTACAAATTTTCATGCTTATTTTGCTATAGATCTTTCCTACTTACTTGTAACGCTGGTTTTCTAGGCGTATGGATCTTGAGAGGGTGTATATATGTCTATGAATTCTTCATAAAGCCAACCTTACTATGACAGGAGGGCAGATGTTCAAATAGTGTGTATTTGTAAATATTCATGATCTGGAAACCTAATTAACTCCCAAATTCTCATTTTATATATTATTATTAATAATAAATAATAATATAATAATAACAATAATAAAAACTAGTGATGGACCAGAGAGATGGCTCAGTGATAAAGGTGCTTGCCCCAAGCCTGATGACTTGAGCTCAATCTCTGGTGCCACAAACTGTCCTGTGGCCAAATGTATGCCCCACACAAAGGCATAATGAATACATGTAATTTAAACAGTAATTAGACTTTTGAAAAGAACCACACCTAACCTCATGATGGAGCACACCTGTAATCCCAGTACTAGAGAGTTGGAGACAGAAAGATCAGGGCTTCAAGGCTAGCCTCAGACAAAGCAAGCTTAAGACAAGCATAAAGTGAGGAACCCCTCCTCCCAACACACACACACCAGCTATACAACCCCACATTTTGGTGAAGTATGATTCCCAAAGACATGGATAAGTCAGAACTTTAAAGCCAGAAGAAACTTAGATTATCCATTTACCCACTCTGGTTCCCAATGGCTTTTTTACAGCTGGTCTATGCTTAGTTTAGTTGTTTGTTAAAAATATAGATTCTGAGGCCAGGCATGGTGGCACATGCCTTTGGTCCTAGAGGCAAGTGGGTCTCTGTGAGTTTGAGGCCAGCCTGGTCTACATAGTAAAGTTCCAGGTCAGCCAGGGTTACTTAGTAAGACCCTGTCTTTGAAACAACAACTAGATTCTGAGTTGGACTCCTTGGTGGTCTTCCTCATAGCCTCTCATTCCTTGCTGTGCTGCAATTCTGTAGCTACCTGATTAGTTAACCCATAGATTTTACTGCTTTTTTAAAAACTTATTTTAGTGCATGCGTGTCTGTCTGTCTTCGTGTGGGTATATGCACATGAGTGTAGGTATACCTTCAGAGGCCAGAGGTATTAGATTCCCCCCAGCAACTGGAGTTACAAGTGGTTGTGAGCTGCCCAATGTGAGCACTAGGAACTGAACTCAGGTCCTCTGGAAGAGAAGTGTGTGCTCTTAACCACTGAGCCATCTCCAGCTCCAATGTTAATATTGTTTTAAGTTTCAAATTCTAGTAAGTAATTTACCAGAGTAAGTCCATAGTGGTTATTTTGATCTGGTATCATTAATGTAACAAATTTTCACTAAGCCCCTGTTGTATGTAGGCACTGTGCTAGTTTGTAAAGGACAAGATAGACCTGGCTCTCTGGTGGCACTTGTAGCTAGTCAGGAGGTAAGCTGTTTCCTCAGTTATTTACTATAGTAACAGCTGTGCAGAGAAGCAAGACTGAGTGACAAGCTCTGAGAACAGACTTAGCTTCATCAAAGAGGGTGCATTTCCACAGAACTGTACTTAGGATGTAGAGACCTGGGTAAATTGTACAAAAGCTTGAAAGCTGTGCAGTAACATTTGACATTGACCTAATAACAGTATGGTATCAGCAAAAATTTAAGGAACCTTAAATTGGGAGGGTGGCTCACACCTGTAGTCCCAGCATTTGCGAGGCAGTGGTAGGATTACTGTGAGTTTGAGGCCAGCCTGAGCTATAGAACAAAACCCTGTCTCAAAAAACAAAAAAGGCTAGAGTGATGGCTCAACAGTTCAGTGTTCATGTTGCTTTTCCAGAGTACCTGTGTTTGGCTCCTAGCTCGCACAGGGTTATTTTACAACTGCCTGTACCTCCTGTACTGAGGATTTGACACCCTCTTCTGGTCTCTTTAGGGATACACACACACACACACACACACACACACACACACACACACACACACACACAAATACATGTGTAAATAAAACACCTCACACCAACGACATAAGAAAAAGATTTAAGGATCCATTGGAGAATTTGAAAGGGCTTTGGTCCAATGTGGAACAAAGATTGGAGAAAGGGATGTTATTGATGTTGGAACCATGTAGCTGTGTGTTGCAACAGTGTTTCAGAGCAAGGGGAACATTGTTGCAGTAAAACCTTCCAACCACCATCACTACCTCAAGAATGAGTTTGTATGCAGCTAAGTAAATCCTTTACCCACACACAAGCCTCCTCATGGGCTCTTTGTTGGCCTTACACACGGGCTAATGACTATTTTCTTCACCTGTAGCAATGTGCATTTCTTATTTGGAAAGCAATTTGGGGAACTTCAGACTGTATTATACCAGAAAAACAAAAGTGCTGAGGGATTATTTCATGTATTCATTCATTTATTTCCTAGATGTCTCAGCCAGATGTCCTCTTACTTGTTCAAGAATGTTTAAAGAACAGTGGTAAGGCCAAATTCTTCCACATTTTGCTTCTGATTTTGTCTTTTGTCTATAAATTTGAATATATCTTACTACCAAACTGCAAGTAGGAAGTTCACTTTTAAAAATTACTTATATTAAGGGTAAAATCCAAAGCAAAAATAAAAGTAAATGCCTTTGAACTATTAACTAGAGTCCAGCAAGCGCTCGGAAGGACCACCAGTGAGACAGCTGTTAGTCTGACAACATTTAGGATTAATGAACCCTAGACTGAGTTAAAAATGCAGACTATATGACATTTACTCTTGGGAGTAAGCTCATGGTGATCTGCTTTATTGCGTGGTTGAAGTCAGCGTTACAGATGGCAAATAGGTGTGGCCCCACCCTGATTAATGAACTCAAAGACCATTGTTCCCAAATGGGCTCCTCAGTTGTCTTGTCCAATCCAATGTCCTCCTTGGAGCTTATGGCTTTTCTCAGTAGCTAGGCCTCATCAGATGATACTTTCCCTTGAGTTAGGCGTTCTTATTCTTTCTGTTTTTAGAAACATTTAAACATTTCATCTTGTTTCAGTCAGTACATATTTTGACACTGTCTATTGTTAGTAGCTTTACATCACTCTGTCCTTAGTCTCCCGTGCACATTTCTAATTATGTTGTCCACAGAGCGTTTAAGTGCTGCTTCAACACTGTGGTCTTTCTGATCAAACACTAGCTTTGGAACATTAGGACTTGGACTGTGGTGATTTGATCTTGGACATAGTGTCCTCTCTTTCTAAGTCACCTGAGGGGTGTTTGTGGCAGTGGCCTCTCAGACCCACAGCTACTCTTAGGCCTTCCCAGGTTTGTTTTTCAGAGAGGTTTAATTAACCTGTTTGATTGTTTTTCCTCTCTCCTCAGACTCCTTCACTGATGTTGATGCTGACTTCCATGCCCGGGTGCCCGTGGTACTGTGCAGAGATAAGCAAAGGTCTCTGTGTCTTTAAGCTGCTATTTATTTCATATGATTTATCTTATTTGGGTTTATTTTGAGATAAAGTCTAACTATATATAGCCCAGGATGGCCCTGAATCACTCTGTAGCCCAGGATGGCCTTTAGTTTTATGGCAGTATGTTTGCTGCTGTGCTGGGATCATAGGGGTGTACCACCATGTCCAGATTATCAGATTACCAAAGTCACATGTACTTTGTTAAATCTCAGGGTTAACTTGTAGAAGTGTAAATTCCTAATCTGGCTATTACTTGTCCTGCTTACTGGCATTTTCCCTGTACTTTCCTTTTAAGAAGAAAAGGAAAATAAACTGTTGGAAGTATCTTAGCGGATTCCAGCTAAACTGGCCTGATTGAATAATTGCTTCCTCTCAGCACCTTCTTTGCCGTTGTTTTCAGTAACACTTTTGGCATCTGAGATATTGTTCAGGGTGGCCTCACATGTGCAGCTCTTTTCCCTTGGGAAGCACTGCCGCCGCCACTTACTGGGAGCTTGGTAGGCTGTGATGACTCTTCATTAAGCAAATCCCTTTGACTCTCAGGAGAAAACTCTTGTACCATTGGAATGATCAGAGCAGGCCTTTGATAATACTTTTCTGTTCTTGTGCTCTTTTCAAAGTATTTTTAATACTCAAAAATACTGCCACCATTTTTTTAAATCCAGTTTTGGGGTTGAAGATATGCTCAGAGGTTAAGAGCACTGATTGTTCCTGCAGAGGAGCTGGGTTTGATTCCCAGCACCTGATTGGTGGCTTGCAGCCACCTGGGACTCCAACTCCAGGGATCAGATGCCCTCTTCTGACCTTCTAGGGAACCATGCATGTACATGGTACACAACATACTTAACGTTTATTCAAAATGGTCACACACATAAAATAAATCAAGCTCTTCTTGAAATCCCACATCGTGATTTTAAGCTCTTCATTCTTTAGTTTTTATTGTTGTTAGTGTAAACTTGATATAGAAGACCAATCCCTATTTAACACAGTTTTTCTCTTTTCCCTCTCATCTTTACCCTTCCCCCACTAGTGGACTTCTTTGTAAAGTGAGCGCAGGAAATGAAAACGCTTATCTGACCACAAAGCACTTAACGGCTCTTGGAAAACTAGAGCCGAGGCTGGTTCCTCTGGTGATTGCATTTAGATACTGGGCAAAGGTAGGATTTGGGGTGGGTGGTTGTGTGTGGATTTTTTTGGTTTTGTTGTTGTTGTTTGTTTGGGTTTTGTTGGGTTTGTTTGGTTTGGTCTTGTTTTGGCAGCCCTGGCTGGCTTGGAACTCACTACATCATCTACACTGTCCTCTAACTTGTAGGTGCCTCTGCTTCCTGAGTGTTGAAATTACAGATGTGTGCCACCATGCCTTATTTTGGATACCTATTTATAGGCATCAAGAGAGTGGATGTCAGAATATTGGACTAGACACTTTAATATACACAGAAGGAAAGCTCAGTTTCTATTTCAGTGTGACATTATTCCTCAGAAGATAAAATGAGTTATAGCACTTATTAAAAATCAGATATAGGTCAAACTTTTAGAATATGACCCAAGAAGTTCTACTTTAACATCTTTGTGAAGTCTTCTGAGGCGTGGTAGTGTTTGAGATAAGGCTGCTGACACCATTTCCAGTGACACACTCAGAGACTCCTGGATGCCTCACAGTTCTGTAGTTGTAGATAGGTGGTTGAACTGCAGTGTCAGCGTGAGCAGTCCCAAATGAAGATCACATCATGATGTAAGACTGACAGCTGGCCAGGTGTGAGCACACATGGATAATCTCATCGCTAAGGAGGCTGAGACTAGGAGCTCTCAAGTTCCAGGACAGCTTGAACTGCTGCATACCAAGACTCTGTCTCAAAGAAACAGCTATAAGAATAAAACATCCAGTTAAAAACAGAAGGACTCATAAACCACAGCTGCACTGATTGAGCAATGCTAGAGGGTTCACTTCTTGAATCTAGGATAAACAGGATGCCCAGTTTTTAACTTGGTGAATTGGAAAAACCTTACAGGAGCTGGAGGTGTAGCTCAGTGACAGAGTTTGCTAGTACAAGTAAGGCTGTGGGTTTAGTATCCAGCCATCCCCAAACTAACGTCATTAATGTGGGTTTGGTTTTTTTGTAGCTTTGTAGCATCGATCGCCCTGAAGAAGGAGGCCTGCCGCCATATGTGTTTGCTCTGATGGCCGTTTTCTTTCTTCAGCAAAGGAAAGAACCTCTCTTGCCAGTTTATCTAGGATCATGGGTATGACACTTTTTGGTTATGCCTGATAATGATTTTATTAAATTCCTTATGAAAAAAATCTAAACACTTAGCCAGACCTGAAGTATCTAATTATTCTACCATACTCTCATTACCAAAATATTAGTGTTTGATTACAATACTGATGTCACTTTGTCCCTGTGTAGGGATAATACTGTTTTAAAGAGTACCTAATACTAGTTGAAACAACTCTGAGCTGGGTTTGAATTTTTCATTGAGCTTAATTTTCTGACTTGATATTTGATTTTATTTAGCATCTCCATGCTATTTGAGAACCACTAAGACTTTTGTCTTATTTTTATTATTTGTTGATTTGTTTTTGAAACCAAATCGCACTGTTGCCATGTTACCTCAAACATCTGGGCTCAGTTTATCCTCTTGTCTCAGCCTTCTGAGTATCTAGGACCATAGTACTTTGTATCTCTGGTTTCCCCTGTAGCCTGTAAAACCAAAGAAAGCAAACTGATGGTCACCTGAATCGTGAGATGCAGAGTGACATTTTATGTTACCTTTGTGACAGTCATCTTTAAATGGAACGCTTTAGTCTGACCTGGGGGTACAGGTCTGTAATCCGATTGTGCAGGAGGCTGAGGCTGGAGGACCACAAGGTCTAAGCTTACCTGGGCTAAAGTGAGTTCAAAACCAGTCCCCTTAGGGAATTTAGCTAGATCCTGTCTTAAAAATAGTTTGAAAAAATAAAATGGTGAGCTGAGGATGTAGTTGAAATGTTGAGCACTTGCCTAACAAACCCCAGTGTTTATACCCTGACAATGGAAACTGAAGCATAAAGACCTTCTCCAGGCTAGGTGTGGTGTACATGTCTGTAGTCCTAGCACTCTGGAGGCTGAGGCAAGAGAATGGTGAATTCAAGGATAGCCTGGGCTATTTAGCAATACCCCCCCTTAAAAAAAAAAAGTGCTCTAAGCAGTTATTTAATGAAGGTATTACAATTTGTAACTTGCTAACAAAATAAATTACCTGGTAAGCAAACAAAACTGTCAACATTTGTTTAGTTAAAGCATAAAGGGTCCATATTTTTCACAATATAGAACAGTGTTTATAGTTTCTAGGGTGCAATAAAAATTGCTCAGTCTACGAAGAACCAAGGAGCCCGGACAAGAGCAGGTTCCTGTGTATTAGCTGGCTTTTGGTCCCTGCAATGGTACACTTGAGAGATCAGCTTAAAGAAACATGCATTTGTGCCAATGGTTTCGTTCTATGTTGTCTTGGCTCTGTTGCTTTGGCCTTTAGTAGCCCTATATTGCAGTAGGAACATTTAGCATAAAAGACTGTTCACTTCAGAGTGGACACAAGCAAAGAGAAAGAGAGAGGTGGGGCCATGCTGTAGAGGGACTTTGATTAGTAACGTAAGCATGAGGGCCCCAGTCAGTCCCTAAAACACTTGTAAAATGCCGGGCCTTGGGTTGTACATTTGTAACTCCAGTGCTGGGGAAACCAACATAGGTGGGTCCCGGAAGCCATCTGCCCAGCCAGCCTAGCCTGCTTTGGTGGGTGTCAGACCAAATGAGAGACCCTGTCTCCAAAATCAGGGTAGACACCTCCTGAGGAACACCATTCAAGGTGGTCCTCTGGCTTCTACTTGTATGCACCCATCCCAAGCACACATACATAGATGCATGAGGTCCCAGTATCCATTTTAAGGATATGCCCCCAGTGACCTAACTTCTTTCCATGAGGCTCCACCTCCCAAAAGGACCATACACTCCAGCAAAGCCTTCAGTGTATGAGCCTTTGGGGGACCATATCATTGACTCCAAAACTACCCAGAGGTGACAGCTGTCAAAGACCTGAGCCTAGCTTTGATAACTTCGCCTCTGGAGATAGAAAGAATACACTCAGAATAAATGAAAGACAAGAGACACCAGCTTGAGAGACAGTATATAGAGAGTGAAGTGGATGTTGATCTAGAACCAGTGATTGTAGCAGGCTTTCTCGGCCACTAGCCCCCAAATTATTATATGGAGACTTATTATTAATTATGAATGCTCATCCTTATTTTATGCTTTTCCGACTAGCTCTTATAATTTAATTTCACCCGTTTCTCTTCATCTATGTTTTGTCTCGGGGCTTTTTACCTTTTTTTCATTCTGTATGTCTTACTTTCATGCTTCATGTCTGGCTGATTGGCCCCAGCATCTCCCTCTTTTTCTCCTTCATTCTCTCTCTCAAGCCTACATTCCTCCTCTTACTTATTCTCTCTGCCCACCAGCCCTGCATATCCCTCTACTGCCTAGCTATTGGCCATTCATCTTTTTATTAGACCAGTCAGGTGTGTTAGGCAGGCAAGGTGAAACAGCAGCACATCTTTACATAATTAAACAAATGCCGCATAAACAAATGCAACACATCTTTACATAGTTAAACAAATATTCTGTTCCACAACAAGTGACAGCAACAATTATCTGAAATATGAGCGGGTTGTTAGACAACCTTATTTTAAAAGGCCAACATAGCTATCATGGTATACATTTGTGATCCCAGCACTCAGGAGGCTGAAGCAAGAAGATTGAGGGGGCCCAATCATTAAATCGCTGCCTGGTCTTCCAGAGGACCCAGGTTTGATTCCTAGCATTCACATGGTGGCTCACAACCATCTGTAACTCTGGTTCCAGGAGACACCAGAGTGTCCGGTCCCAGGGTCCCAGAGATCTGACTCCTTCTGGCCTCTGTGAGTACCAGGCACATGTTGTACACAGACATATTGCAGGCAAAATATCCATATGCAAAAAATAAACAAAGAAACAAACAAATGGTATTTAAAGGATTGAGAGATTAGAGATAGCTGGAACTAGGAAGACTCTGGAGGAGAGAGTAGAAAACATTTTTAACTAAATGATTAAGAAGTACGAGCTTTTGGAGCCAGGAGGTGCACGCCTTTAATCCCAGCACTCAGGAGGCAGAGGCAGGCAGATCTGTGAGTTTCAAGACAGCCAGAGCAACACAGAGAAACCCTGTCTTGAAAAAGAAAAAAAGAAGAAAGAAAGAAATACAAGCTGTCAGAGTGTGTGAGCTGCAGGCAAAGTGTTCCCAAGGACATTTGTAGGCTTAATTCACTTCAATGTAAAAAAAAGAGAAAATTCAAGAAGTGTGAAGTTGAAGGGCAAAATGAATATGCACTGGGCCTGAGGAAGCAAATGGACCAGTGGACTAAGAGCAGCCACAGGAAAAGGGAGTGGGTAGAGTCAGCACCAGCAGGTGGAAAGCAAGGTCACACAGGGAGTGACATGCCAGTCCATTGGTTCACCAAAGTGTCAGTTCTGTACCTTTCATCAGGAAACTTAATAGAGTGACTAAGATAAAGAAATACAAGTTATTGGGAATGAGAGGAAGATTCTTGTTTAAGATCTCGCGAGCCTGAGTACATGCCAAGCATCACTTAAAGCCAGGCATAGTGGTATACATTTGGAATCTCAGCACTCTGGAGGTGGAGGCAGGAAGATCAGGTCAGGGTCAGTCTTGGCTATATAGCAAGTTTGAGGCTAGCTGGGCTATAGGAGTTGTCTTTAGATTAAGAGAGAGAGAGAAAGAGAGGGCTTTAAAAAGAACATTTATGATGGCATGGTGGTGCATACCTTTAATCCCAGCACTTAAGAGGCAGAGGCAGGAGATCTCTGAGTTTGAGGTCAGCCTGGTCTACAGAGACTTTTTCTCAAACAAAGAAACAAAGCACTTACTGCATGGCTTTTACTGAGATTATACAAAAAAATGTCTTCACATACCCACTCCTGATGGTAAGGGCACTGGTGTCACAAAAAGAACTCTACCTGAGTTGAACTTGGCAGACCTTTCCATTTACTGCATTATTTACAAGAATATTGGTGGCTCAGGCATCTGTCAGCCTTCACCATTCACATTAGCTCCCATGAAACACAGCTAGGGATCTGGAGGTGGCAGTGCCTAGACTCAGGCAAGGGTCACCTGGCCTCCTTTTCTTCCTTCTCTGAGGGACTGTCCACACTACTGTTTTGCTTAATTTGTTGTCTGGTCCTTGTCTTCAGATAGCAGTTCCATGAGGGCCAAGGGTCATGAAATAGCTTCACTACAGCAGAAAGAAGAGCTAGGTAAATTGTACATTTTTAAAAAAATTTTATTTTATTATGTTTATGGGTGTGTGTCTGTATACATGAATGTAGGTGTTCACAGAGACCAACAGTATCAAATCCCCCTGGAACTAGAGTTACAGATGATTGTAAGCACCTGACATAGGTGCTGGGAATCAAACTTGGGCCCTCTACAAGAGTGCTCTCTCAACTACTGAGCCATCTCTCCAGCCTCAAATGTACGTACTTTATAACAATCAACATGGCACTTTTCAACCAAAGAAAACATAATCTAGTAGCCGTTCTTCTTCCTCTTTCTCCTCCTCGTCCAACAGCAGCTCACCCATTTTGTGGCCTTGGCTGACATGGAGCTCACTCTGTAGACCAGACTGACCTCAGACTCACAGAGATCCACCTGCCTCTATCTCCTGGGTGCTGAGATTAAAGGTGTGGGCCACCATGCCCGACTGACAGCCTTATTTTTACTAAAGAAGTTGAATTTGACAGTAGACATCTGTGGGAAATATCTGCAGCTAACTTATTATACTTTCTTCTTTTGAAACAAAAAAATGCCCTTATTTAAAGGTTCTGGGAAAAGTTCTGTGTAGCTAGCGTACAGGCTGATACGTTATTGATTGCTTGCTGCTGCCTCAGCACTCAGCATGGGACTGCCCTGGTATGCCATGACTGCAGGCACCTGGCCAAGCTCTGCTTTTCCTTCTCACGAGAAACTTTTGCAGCCACCACTGATACCAACATATCCTAGTATGAATTTGTCCTTTAAACTCCTTCTTACACCTTAAAAACAAAAAATCCGAATGCTGATGGAAATTTTGGGAAGCTACCCTCAATGAAATTAATGACCACAAAGAGTGGCTGTATTGTGTCTGGCCCCCTCCCCAAGCAGCCATCTGATTTTTG